AAGAGCCTGGCTTTGTAGTCTAGGGGGAAAGACCCCTTCCTATGGAGGAGGGGCCTCGGATGGGGCCCCAGGGCACTCTTTTTAAACTACTTGCAAATGTATTTTTGTGTTCCTGTTTATATACAGATAGTTTGATGCGGTGTTTCAATAAAACAGCTTGATAGTCAGTTTCTACTTAAAGTAGCTTTTTTTTCTTTGAAAAGGTGGACTTAGTGATTACTCATAAAATGGAAAATAGCATCTTAAGCACTGTGAGGTGACCCTGTACCCAGCATTCTTCATTATCTCTTGAAAAGTGGCTATTTCAGGGATGAGGTATTTCTATGCTCTGGAACTGGCATGTTGCCCAAAAGATGAAATTGGGAAGCAAATAGAATATACCGTTCTCTAAGTTTTTATCATACTAGGTCAGAAATATAAGCTTGGCATAAATCATTAGGTTAGTTGATGAAAGCTATTAAAGTAGGAGTGTTTGAAAAAGCGTACTTAAATAGTCATAACTGCAAACTACTTGAATTCAGTTCGCTGTGGCCTGCCAGGCAGTTGTGTTTACAGGCTTGTTTTCCTGTGACACCGCCTTTTTAAGTTTCTAGTTGGCCAACAGTGCCACCCAGGGGTATGAGTTTACATCAACTTTTTTTTCTAGTTTGTATCAGTCCTCACTTACAGATTGGATTGTTTCGGTTTGGTTTTCACACAGTCTGAAGTGGCCAGCTCCACCATTCTTGTCAGCTAAATTTGTAATGCAGTCATCATCTCTTGACTGTCCTTCTTCTGCCTTCTGAAATCCAAAACTTTAAAGCTTATTCCCATACAATGCTGCTAAGATATGGTCTATACAGTCTGGAGTGAACAGTCTCATCCATATCCTTCTTTCACACTTCTTGTAGTGTCACTTATATCTGTCAAAACCAGGAAATAGAATAATCTTGTTTTATTCCCTTTCATGGCAAACACAGCTCTAAAGAGAATTTTACTTGCATGTTGGCGATGACCATGCATTTTTGCTTCTGTCTGTTGCATCTCTCTTCACTTTACCAGATTAGCTATGAAGAATCTTGAAAGTCACAGGAGCATAATCTTCACTTTCCTTACTTAAGATGGAAGAAATAAATCTTGCTTCCACTCTGACGGTGAAACGCTCTCTTGTATTCAGGAAACTTTCAAACATACTTTTGTGCTTGCGGTGTGGGGTTTGTTTTTTTTTTTTTTTCTGTGTCACAGAACAAAGACGTAAGTTCTTTACCAAACTTAGCAATTTTCTGAAGACATAAGGAAAAAATGTACATTAATAATGCCCTAATGATAATGTTCCTAGGAAAGTCAGTTTTAAAGTATATGCTGGACATACACGGTAACATCAGCTAGTTTGTCAACTGTAGGAAGAATCCAGGTAGGTGTGTGTATTGTATTAGAGATAACAGTAGTATTTTCTACTTTTGGTAACTTTTTTAAACTAAAAGGGAGTAGATTTAGACTAGCTATAAGGAAGAAATTTTTTACAGTGAGAGTGGTGAAACACTGGAACAGGTTGCCCGGAGAGGTGGTAGATGCCCCATCCCTGGAAACATTCAAGGTCAGGTTGGAGGGGGCTCTGAGCAACCTGATCTAGTTGAAGATGTCCCTGCCCACAGCAAGGGGGTTGGACTAGATGACCTTTAAAGGTCCCTTCCAACCCAAACTATTCTATGATTCTATGATAACTTAAGTGGGTAGGTGGGATTACAACCTTTGATCTCCTCTTCTGAAGGAAAGGAAGAACAAGAGACTGGCTGGGCTCCCAAGTAACTGTATATGCTTTTATGCTGCTTTTTTTTTTTTTTTTTTTTTGGCTTTGGTAAACAAGTGCAGTGTAAAACTGGTGAGTTAGGAAAAGAGTAAAACTGTCGCGTCCTAGGTTTTTGTTACTGTTCAAGATGATCACAGAAGAACTGCAGAAGATCAGTCATAGGGGCATTAACTTCCATTTTAAGTTGCACAGATTATTAATACATCCCAAGCACTGAAACTGTCCACAGGGTTATACTTTACAAAGCACTGTAACAAAGCCTTTCCATCTGGAATTATAATTTGAATAATAATTACTTATTAATAATATACTGCCATATTTCAAGCAGAGGTTTTGTCCACAAAAACACAGACAACTCTGTTGTAATTCACTGGTCCCCTCTGGGAAAAGATGCTTAAATATTATAAGAAGAACACGTAAGACTGCATATTTCTGTGCTCTGTGAATTGTCATGGCAGTAGTCCACAGCGTAGCTCTCAGAGGAGTTTAAAAGAATGCCCTGAAATAGCGAGATACAGTATCATCTGCATTCTGTGCTTGTACGTACAGGGTGGCTTTTGTTACTAGTATGGTACCTACTTTGCTATAGCATCCCACGTGATGCCTGGGAATCTGAGTGCTGGGATGTTAGCAATTCAGTATGCAAACAGTAATATGAGTACTTAGGGTAAAGTAAGACTGGCTTCAGTGTGGTTTTTCTTTTGTGCTTTCTACTGACTCCTCTCCCTGCGTTCTTGTTTATTCTCCTGCTTGCTCACCTGCAGTTGCTAACCCCCTTTTGCTCTTTTGTCAAGTGTTAGATGTTCTGTTTGTGTTCCTCACCCAAGTTCATTGTCACATATTTTCCTTTTGCCTGCCTCCAGGCTATTTTTTGCCTAGCATAGAGCACTGTTGTTATAGTATCTGAGATGCGTGCATGTTCCTTCAGCTGGAGATACCCCAAAAGTGAGAATTAAAAGAAGTAGGCTTCGTAATGTATTTGCCTCATTAGATTAATTGTGATGTTAATTGTACAATGAATAAATATTGTGCCATGTTGAAGAAAAAAACCTGTCCTTTAAATAGTGAAGGAGATTGTTATCTGCAGTTGGTTATTCTTATCTAAAACAAGTAAGAAATGGTATTATTTAAAAGAGAGTAACAGCTTTGATACCTACGGGGCAATTTTTAGTGTTGAGAGTGACTACCTCTGTTTTTCGAAAACATCCGCAGTCATGCTTCTTTGTGTATTGTCTCTTCAAAAGTCTTCTCTGATCGAGTGCTCCTTCCTGAAGGTTTCCTACCTTCCCTTCCAAGCTCCTCAGTTTGCGTGTCCCATGCCAAAGTCAGCACTACATTTAATACTGTGTTCACTAGGTTTGACATCTGGTTTATAAAGAAAGAGGGAATGCATAATCAGAAAACATATTATGTTTTTTTTTAATCATTTCTTTGCAGTGAGGATCTCAGACGTTGGTTTCTTCAACAAGAAATGGATCTCTTGCGATATCGTTTCAATGAACTGACTGACAGTTTAAGGCAGAAATTCCTGGAACATGTTAACTTATCTTTTGAAGCTGTAAGTATGTTGCTTTCTGGATTTGTGTTATATAGCATGTGCCTGATGATTTTTATAATCCTCATTAAGGTAGTTCTAGTACTTCCGTTTAAAAAATAAAAAGTGCCCTTGTGGCTTTAAAGTTCTGTGAGCTTTAAAGAACTAAAAGAAGTAGGCTTCATAATGTATTTGCCTCATCAGATTAATTGTGACGTTACTTGTACAATGAAGAAATATTGTGCCATGTTGAAGAAAACAAGCTGTCCTTTAAATAGCGAAGAACAACTGAACTTGGAGAATAGTCATGCCACAGAAATGAGGATTAAGTGATGTAATTTTGTGCTGCAACAAGAGAAGTTCAATCTGCTTCAGTCAACAAACACTTAACTGAAAAATGTGTAATTACAAATGCAAGTTAACAAACAATGTCATTCTAGTTCTTTACCAACTTACGAAAAACCTTAAAAATACCAAATCTGTGTAGACAAACAACTGTTGCTTTTGAGATGCTTTCGGGATATTACAAAAGGGTTCCTGCTGTTATATACTGCTTCATTTGTCTGAGTGGATTAAAGGCAAATGTCTATTGCAGTTTCTGCATTAATGAGTTCAGTAAAATTTTGCATTTCAGCTATAAATTATTTTGTTAGAGAGCTCCAGCTTTGCCTGTAGCTCTGAGAGTAAACTTAAATTAATAAAAATTAACGTACAATCATCATTCTACTGAAAAAACCCTTTCTTTTAAAATACTGCTTAAGTTCTTCTATTTAAGTTCTTCTAATTAAATATTCTAAAATATGCGGCTGACTTACACATTATATGTTGCTGGATTGAAAGATCTGGCACCAGTGCATATTGATGATGAAAGATGACTTGTGCAGTGTTGAGAATTAATTTGTCTAGCTAAACAGTAACACATGGGCTTTCCTGGGTCTTTGAGAGACTATTAGAAATATCATTCTGTCATTCAACAGACCTTTCAGCGATGGTGTGTTTGTGGAGCTGTATTTCCACTGCTTATTCCCCAGTCTCATATGTTCTGTCACAGTTTCAGCATTCAGGCTTGTGAGAATAAATTAATGTTTACAGGTTGCTGGAAAACACTGGGAGAATGCCTTGATTCTGTGCTATTGAGTGTGCCTTCAATATGTCAAAATGATTAAGAAGGTATTTCTTTCTCAGGTCAATTGAGGCAACAAAGCATCATTTCATTGAAAATCTACTTCCCTGCTTCTATTGTTTTCCCCCCTTCCAATTCTGGTGGGAATTTAAGCAAAACTGATCCCTCCTCGCACTATCATGTACAAAATATTTGAATATTACTAAGGAATTCCGTACATATCTGAAGTAGTTCTAAACTCTATGGTGCTTTGTAGGGGCCACTGAAAAATAAGGCCATTGTAAAAGCAGTATTCTTTTTCTCAGTGTTGTATTTGTAAAAGGCTTTAAAAGGGAAATGAAGATGAACTGTGCTATTCTTACTTCTCTGTTAGAAGTTTCATGCCTTACTGTGCATAAAACAAGATGGAAATTAAACTTTGTGTTCTGCCTGTTAGAAAAGGGAATGGTCTCCAGGAAAAGGAAATAAGTTCTGATATTACAGTCCAGTTTCTGTATGAGTAAACTGATAGGAATTCTCCTATTGGATTTTAATTGCTTAAGGTATCCTAAGAAAGTTAGTTAAATCTCTTTAAAGAGAAGACAGACGCCTTGCTTTTGCTAGATAGTGGTTCTGCATTTCAGAATTGCAATCTGAGATAGGCCAGAGCTGCTGAAGTTCAGACCTTGGTGTAGTCTGGCATAGCTATGTCTCCAGTTAACAATTCTAAGAACCACAGTAAGAAGCAATTCTCAGTATTTTATAAAAGAACCGGTCAACTTTTTTGTGGAGAGGGGGAATAAGTGGATCCTTTTGTACAGTTTTGTCACAGTTGTCTTCATATACAGCAGCAACAAAGTGAAGCTAAACACTGAGAATTCAGTAACTGTCACTTCTTTTCATGTTTGCTTACATGCATGGGAAAGTGAGATGTGTATTCTTATACTTTTTTGCAGAGGTTTTGCAGACTAATTCCTGAGGTTTTGTGAATTATGGATTGAAAATTATTGCTTTATAGAATCAAGAAGTCTTCATTCCCACTCAGGGATAATATTTAAGCAGCTGTTAAGATCTTCTTTGAAGACTGTAGCGCCAAACATCTTATTTAGCCACTTTTTGGAAAGAATGAAGTTGTTAACAACTAGAAGAAAAAGTATCAGACTCTCTGAATTTTTTATATGACAGTCAGCTGTGAAGAATTTGAAATTATAGTAGGTCTGATCTCATGATTAAAGAGAATTTTTATCAAAAAAGAAGAACTTTCTGAAAATAAAAATGGAAATGAAATGTAATGAAAATGAATGTTTTCACTTTTATAATAGGATTTCTTATGTCCTGTGACTGACGTTTGTATTGCTAATGGAGCAAAATACATGGGAGGGGTTTTGTTAAAATAAGTAAATATTTGCTCTGGGGAGCTGTACCTGATTATAAAGATGCCCTTTACTTGTAAAAGGGGGGCTATAAACTGTTCAAAGTATTCAGATTAAAGATGGTGACTTCAGTGTAATGAATTTGTGTTTGAATATGCATAGGATTATGATCATTCAAAATTTTTGCAATGTTTGTGAGAATAAGCTCCTCTACATTTAGTATAAATTATGGAAGTTTGAAGCTTAGGTAGGTTCTTCCTTGAAATGTTTTTACAAAGCTGTCACTGCATGGAGTTAGTCCATCTTTAGTATTTCTGTGAGAAGCCTCTGGAACCTGGGATTTCTGAAAAAAATGAAAGTTTGCTTTGAGTTTGTATTTGAGACAGTTTTTTGAACTACTAACAGGTAGATTGCATTTTAATGACTTGTAGGAAGGAAATAGCTTTGGCCAGTCTGTTTTCTGGCAAGTGCGCAAGATGCCTGGACTGGTGCTGTTCAGCCTGCTGGAACATTGGTTTGGTGCTGAAAATTTTACACTGCTCTGAAATACTAGTGTTTATATTATCCTACCAATTTATGCCAGCATGGGCAAGAGGTAGAGCATGGGGTATTGAATAAAATGTCAAGAAAGGTAGAGGGTAGAAGGAAAGCAGGAATAATAGTGGGGGAGCGGGAATGATGGACCTCATTCTCACTCTTTTTTTTTTTTTTTTTTTTTTGGTGGTGGTGAGGTGTTAATTGTAACTGTACCATAGTGTGAAATGACAGCCTCATTTGGTTCCTTTGTTGCAACTTCTGTACATTTTTAATTATTTACACTTTTATTTTAAACTCCAATGTAGATGTTCAGCTGTTACTGAGATTGAGACCCTACTGGAGCCTTTGACAACCGACACTCTTCCAGTTACTTGTAAATGGTAGAGGGGAAAGAAGTTATGTAAATGGCAGTGGTGTTTCCCTTTTCTTTAAGCATGGATATGTTAGGTTGGATAAGAAGAGGTTGTCAGGTCACTGTTGGCAAGGGCTGAGGTTGTGCCCAAGAATAGAGACTGATGAGTATTATTTGGAATTTTACTCTTGTAACTTCTCAGTTTGAAAAACTCAATGGTCTCAACTTCTGAGAGGATGTATTCAACATCTCCAACAATAACTTGCTTCAACTTTTGATTTTTGGCCACAGTTTGGGTCAGGACTGAAACCATTTTCTTTATTCCTTTTGGTTAAAGCATTCTGTGTAGTGTAATGAGTGTTGGGCTCTTAATCAAAATACAAAACCACAACTTTTTTTTGGCAACTTTTTTTTGGCAAAGAAAGGTGTTTTAATGAAGTGCTGTTTTGCTTGCAAATAGTACAAAAATAATACAGGCTAGTGTACTTCGTAGTATCTGGGAGTAGCTGTCTTAATTTCCGTAATTTATTTTCTAATGCAATCATTTATTTTCTAATGCAATACCAACAGTTTTAAACTAAACTTAAAGCTGTTGGTATTGCATTAGAAAATAAATTATTTAAGATTTGTGCTCTTCAGACACTTTTAAACTTTTTTAGATGTATCTCTTCTGTTCTTTTTGGTATCTTTTTAAAAATCAAGAGATTCAATTTTGAAGGTGATTTCTATCTTAACAAAATCATTTATACACCTTTCATCAATAGCTTCCCCCTCAAAATTATTGTACTGAGAATGTAAACAATTCAGAATTTACCCTATGTTTCTTCAGGAAATAAGTTGTAGTTGAACCATGGTGTCAAAGGTGATGTTTACAATATTAGCCTCCTTCCAGTAAATAGACATGGAAGAAATTTAACTTTTGAACTTTACCTTTGACAGTAGTTAGAACCTTTGGGGGCAAATAGAAATGATATACACATACTCTCACTCTATGATACATTGTGCAGTAGAAGTCCTTTCCTTGTGTTTTTCTGGGAGTGGTTAGGCTTGACTTGGGCAGTGGTTAGGCTTGGCCTGGGAGCAGCATTTGTTACATGACACTTTTACAACAGGAAATAATATTTTGATAAATATTATTATAGGTATTTACTAGCTCATTTAAAATGTAGTTTTCTTAGAGCGGTGTCATCTAATTGACAACCAGTTGTTGGGTATTTCTCTTGATGTTACCTGTTCCCTGGGAAAATGGCAATTTGAATAGCATTTGCTTCATGTTAGTTAAAATCCTGCTGTCTTGCAAAAGGGATCTAGTTGCTCAGCTTAGAGCATTGGACTTAAAGGAACATTTGCTAAACTTTCTATTCAGTAATTCTGCAGTTTTCTTGTTCAGTAAAGCTTATTTTTATCCTTATTTGGCACTGTAATTTCTGGACCTCATTCTATTATCTTATCTGTCTTGACTTGTTATGTAATGCTTCATAGATGGCTTGCTGTCAAGTGTCCACCAAATTTTCGGGAACTTCTTAAGGGAGAGGAGAGTGGAAGACTGGTTAATGCATGTCTTGCTGTTTGATAGAAATACTCTTGCCTTAAAACTAAGCTTACTGTTTTTTTTAAAAACCACCACACATGGATCCATGACTGACTCCTTTTTCACCTG